CAGTGACATTGTTGTTGTTGTTGTTGCCATTCTGTCCCAATCGTTTTAGTTACTGCTAATTTACATAAATCACTCTGTGCACCCTGCGTTTGTCAGCATTTGTTTTGTCAGTGTGACGACAACTAACCGATATTAATGCATAATTTATAGCAGGTAAAATGCAGACAGTACTCAAGTACCGCACTTAAGTGCAATTTTAAGGTACTTGTACTTTAAAAAAAATTTTCAATGCTACTATATACTACAGTACTGCACTTACTGTATCGTGGCAGCTGTACAACACTGATTATATAAATGCACTTAATACCCAACAGTATTAGATTTGCTCGAGCTACAACATTAAATCGTCAGAAACAGTTTGTTATACAACATAAGAGTGACGTGTTTTTCACTGTGGTATTTACAGACATATTCATCACTATCATCATGGACACAGTAGTTGTGAGAGCTGGCTTGAGAACATATCGACTAATATGGCTAAACTTACTCAAGAACTTATTTGTGCACATTAGAATAAAACAGGAGAAAATTAAAAAGTGAATGAAGTTGCTCTATAAATGTGAAATATTACAAAATTTAAATATTTTATGGCAATTGTATTACTGCTGTTTTTTTGCTAAACAGCAATATGTCATCGCATTTTGTTTTCAATAAAGTCACTTGACCACAGTGTGAAAGAAGAGCCAATAGAGCTGTGGTGAACTGGTGATGTGTTATTTATGTCGGGCTCAGTTCAAAAGCAGCCTCTACGGAGGAGACACACACCATAAATTGTTCTATGGCCTCTATAAGCAGGTCAAAAAGGCACCAATATTTCCTCTTTATTAGAAACAACAGAAACAACATGCGGCCATAAAGGGGCCCTCAGAGGTGAATCTGAAACAGTGGCAAGTGCAGGGAGAGCGTGCTGCGCCGAGAGCTGAGTGGTAGTCACACAATCCATTTCTTCCCACCGGCTTGTCCGTATATTGGTGGGTTTCGTCATAACTCTCACACCAGTGACTCGCAAACTCCCCATGCTTCATCACAGGTCAACACGGAGATGAACTTTGAGGGAAGATGTAACAAATGATCGCAGCCTCCCCAACAATTCATATCTGCTGAAGTGCCATAACCCTCTAAATATCCTGACCTCAATCTGGAGTCTGCATGTTGAAGGCCCATCTGAGGGAGATGGTATCGATCTGAGCAGGAACTCTGGCAGCATCAATAAACAACCGGCTTCAGGCTTCAAGGCTGAGGAGACACATCTCTATTTCAGCTGCAGGGTTCACATCTGGATACCTGAGCAGGATGTGGCACTGGACAGATGGTGGGAATCTTTTTTTTTTTCTTCTTCTGCTGAAATCACAGCAGGTTCGGCTCATTTGTGAGACCAGAGCCGGTGATAACTTTCCCGGTGTTGGCTCCATCAAGGTAAATAAGGCCTTTAGCCACAAGCGTGCACATTTTTAAAAAAAAGAATCACGTTAATGTGAAGGGGCATAGTGAATAGAAAGCTACCAGGTAACAGTCAATGGGAGTGATCGATGCTTAACCAGCAGACAAATAGTATTTGAAGATCTTCTATATCAGCATTACTGTGATAGAAGACGGCACTGACTTTGGTTCATTAATCAATAAACACAAGCCAAGCAATACATCTGACAAAGACTAATGAAATAATAATCATCATCATCCTCGGTGTAGGAAGAGGAAGACAAAGAAAACACATGTTGCACTAAAAACAACCATAAATAACAATGAAACCACAGTAAATATTGGTCAATCTGGCCGGACAATTAAGTTGCTGTCTTGTTTACTTGCCTTCCCCTCTTTGCTTAGAAAGTTAAATAAGTGTGCCTCATATATTTAGAGTCAAACTGAGCTCACTTTGTGCTAAGCAGCTTGTCAATAGCTAGAAAAGAGGCACAGGGCAAAAGAGGAGGTCTGATAAAATGGCTTTTAATTACCAGACAGTGAATGCTGGTCTTCCTTTCCCACTTTCTCCTCCCACCTAAGTCAGGAGTTTGATTTCTGATAATGTGGATTGCTGACTGGGCTTCATCCCCGTTGGCCCTAAAGCAGAAGGACCTAACGTCAAGTCCTGGGAGAGCATGTTTGACAAAGTGCCATATAGATCCTGTGTTTTTCATCAGAGGGCAGTGCTGGTGGAAGCATTAATCAGAGCACTTGATAGCCTGGCTTTGTTTTCCCTCTTTACTCTCCTGTTACAATTAGGCAAAGTAATAATTTCAGGCATTACATGGAAATCAATGGGTCTTTAACCCGGCTGATGGTACAGGTGTAAATGATGAGACAATTCAACCGCAGCTCGATGCTGTGAACTCCTAACCTCTGTCAATATGTGTGTGGATGAATGGATGAATGGATGAATGGATGAATAGATGGATGGATGGATGGATGGACAACTAGACAGATGGATGGACAACCAGACATGGATGGAC